GTAAGAGACATTTACACTGTAAAGGAAGTCTCCATCTGTAAATATATCTCCCTCTCTACCAGGAAGAAGGGGGGATGACCTTATCTCTAGAAACTCTTAATCAATGGGGAGGGCAAGGACTTAAATCTGCATTTGTTTATTGTGCTTGTCTGGTAACCTCCTGTAACCGACTCCCCCCACCCCCAAGATCCTCCTTTGTCTTTAGCTGGATAAGATATTTAAGTGGGGACTTCAGCCATTTTAGTGAGTTGCTCAGCTTGCCTGACCTCTCCCATGTATACATGTTATAAAGCTTTGTTTAATTTTCTCCTGCTATTCTGTCTCATGTGAATTTAATTCATCCTCTGGCCAGATGAAACCACATTGGGTAGAGGAAATGTCTTCCTTCCCTGCACTAGTTTATCTCACACATCAGTTGTGAAAGGTCCTGTTTTTCCATACTCTTTCCAACACTTGGCATGACCACTAAAACACTAGTGGTACAAATCCTTGCCAATTTAATAGGAGCAATTTGAGTATCTGGATTTACTTTGCACGTCTTGATGTTCAACCTGGGATGTTGAAATGACATTTTGTATGTGTGTAGCTTAAAAGGCCCTAGGAGCCTGGGTGATGGGATGGGGGTCCATGGACAGACTCAACCTCCCACACACACTCTTGTGTCCACTGCCAGCATGCTCCCCGCCTGCTTGCATAGAAGGACAAGTAGGACAGAACAGAAAATGATTTGGGGGATCTCAGAGGGTTACAACTTCTCCACAGCTTTGGTGACCTTCTAAAGTGAGAACTAAAGGCCAGCATCAATAGATCATGGGATGTGGCAAGACTTTGTGCAGTCCAACATTTTGGAGATGCTTATGTCTTTATTCTTGCTGAGGCCTGTCTGAGTCCAAAAGGTGAAGGTTTCACATGCAGAGAGCTTAGCCATCTTTGGAAAGGAGAGCTTACCTTCCACCCTCCCAGTGATTGCCTGGGAGGTTCCTTTTCAGAGTGACTCTCTTGACTTCTCCAATGACTTGCCTGCTGTGCTAGATTCTCCTTTCAGAAATGTCCTTTTGATCTTGTCATTCCCTGGATTAAAGCCTTTCAATGGCTCCCCGTTGTCCAGGGTGTAAGCCAGCTTTCCTTAGCTTGGCATTCAAGCTCTTCATCCTCTATTCACCCATCCAGCCCAAAAGACTTCCCCAAGAAGCCCTCAAACCCACTTTACACCACTGCTAATGTCCTCTCTTCTCTGCTTCTCCAAAACCTGCTCAACTGTTGATGCCCAGTATAATCAGGAGAGGTCACGGAGAGTTTGGTGCATTAGTATATATGAACTTTCAGGGTATGAAAACTTTGTCTAGTTGAGGTCACTGTATTCACCCAGATATCTATAATAAAATCTGTAATAGCAATTTGAGTTGCTGATCCCTTTCCAGAATATGATTCAATCTTCACTTTTATGGGCTGAAATTTTAATGTATCTTTCTGATTCACCCATTTATGTTTTTTATTCCTAAAAAGCTGAAGGAAATGTTCATAGCTAGCGCTAGGAAGCAGGGACTAGATTTACAACCAGACTCTAGAAATTTAAATCAAATAAATAGAAAAACTCGGTGTTTACCAAAATGAGCACACATTCCAAGAATTATGTGAGATCGCTTCAGATGCCTGCAAACAAACTTTAAATTATTTACGTAATGGTTAAATATTTGTTTTGCTGGTTATTGGGGAAAAAATCCCTAATTTCAAATCTGTGTTTTAATCTATATCACTTGGGGCAAGAATTGCTAGTTGTGCATTAAAGTCTGTCCTACCTTCTGTGATGCACAACCAGACCACATTTCCCAGTCTTCCTTGCAATTAGATTGGCCATGTGGGTAAGTTCTTTCCAGTGGAATGTGAGTAGAAGTGAGGAGGGCCACGTCCACATCTGACCCCTAATGCCCCTCCCCTGCCCCATGTTCACTTCTTCATGGTCCTCCCCTCTTCAGCTGACTGGAATCAACACCCATAACAACGACAGAAACCATGAGTTCAAGATGGCTAAACCACCAGGATCCTGATCAGTGGTCTGCAGACTGTCCTTTGGGCCAAATCTGGTCCACCATCTGTGTTTGAAATAAAGTTTATTGTAACGTGGTCATGCCCATTTGCCTGGTATTGTCTATGCTTCTCTTGCCACAACAGCAGAGTTGAGAAGTTGCCACAGAGAGAATATAACCCACAAACCCTAAAACATTTGTTATCTGGCTTTTTACAGAATAAGTTTTCTGACCCCCTGGTTAGATTCCTGAATGAGCATATGGAGGACAGCCACCTTGTTCACATGAACAGCACCCCAGTTTATTACATAAGAGGGAAATAAGCCCCTGAAATTCTGGAACTGTTTGCTCCCATAGTCTACCCAATTCTCACAATACTTTCTTACTCAGCAGGAGCTAAGCTAGGCAGTCCCACATGATCACCGATGCAGATGACCTGACCGCCAGTTGTTTGTGCCGTGCTTAAGCCCACAGGGCAGTGTTCCCCTCTGACAGCCACTCCCAGGCCAAAGTTTCCCACAAGCGCTCTCCTTCCTCGTGTCCTTGGACCAGATCGACCTCAGGGAGTCCAAACACCTAATTACAGCCCAGCATTAAGGGCCTAGAGAGATGTGAACAGAATGAGATTTCTCCCCAATGATTGGAATTTTAAAAAGAAGATCCCTAAAGCTCAAGGAAATGGCTACAGTAACAATGACCCTTGATCTGGCCAGTGCCTGGTCGCCTCCCTAGTGGTCATGATGGTGGAGAAGGTTGTTCCTGCCCTTCTCTTACTTACTGACCATCAACGGTTCCCTGTTCCCATTGAGTAACGTGATTTTGGGAGTACACTTTTGTAAAATAATTGAAGGTATTATTACTTATATGTCTTTCTTCACTTCTTATTTACCATCTTTTTAATTTTTAAAAATACAATGACTCATTTTCCATGCTTACCTTTAATTCATGGTAAGTTATACAAGTCTTCCATTTCTGAAAATGATGTGAGACTTCCTTTTTGAATGATTGTGTTAAAGTAAAAAGAATACCGTTACGAAATGGAAAAGTGCTAACAATACTGCAGATGGTACCCTGACATCCCCCAAAACATGACGTTATTATGAGAATCAAAATACATCAAAAATGACGTCAAAATAATATACAATAACTAAATATCATCAAAAAACATGATGTTCTTATGAGAATAACTGAGGTTCCAGAAACACTGCATGTGTCTAAGCTGCATTAGAAAAGATCCTAGGGTTCTTGATTCACAGAATATTGATCCACGGTGAACAGTGCATGAGAGATCATCAACCCATAGCCACTCCCTGCCTCTCATGACTCCACTTCCAGAAAGGGCTCCCGAATATCACCCAGAGGGGTTCGCTGACCTCTGGTCTCCCAGTGCAGTGTTCTGCAGTCCAACAGACAGCTGGAGACAACGGTGCTTCACATCTGCCCCCCTCCATTGGCAGGAACGAATCTCACGAATCCAGTTAATGTGAGGGGGATGGGGAATGTGTTCCCGGTTGGGCAGCATTTTCTCACTGACAAGTGCACACTGGGAGAGAGGACCATGAAGGTAGAGCCAACAGCAAGCCCTCCACCACCTGGTCACCACCTCTCCCAGGAACCCCAGCACTCCTGGTTCCAACCATCCTTCCAGGCAGCCTGAGAATCCAGGAGGGGTCAGCAGGAAGACTTGGCACAAGGGGCAGACATGGAGGAGATCTTAGAAGAGAGAGGCCACCTGAGCTCACCCACAGAACCAAACATGTGCTTAAGGCCCAAACAAGGTCAGTTTCTCAAAAAGTTTTTAACACTGCCATAGAGTTGTTGAGAGTATGGGCCGCAATATTATGCAGCTTTTGTTCAATCCTCAGCTCTTCCTCGTACTTGCTGTGTGACTGTTGGCCAGTTCCTTGACCACACTGAGCCACAGGAGATAATAGCACCAATGCATTGGGTTATTTTGAGAACTGAGATCCTACAAACAAAACACTCAACCCAGTGTTTGCCACACAGTCGAATGTCTGACTGAATAAAAGCTGAAAATACAAATAAGCATAAACACTCACAATACTATAGCCAGCAAATGGCTATTGTAATACTAAATAGATGTATATCCTTCCAGAATTTTTCCTATGCAAATGAAGGTATATGTTTTTACTAACATGGGTATTACACATGACATGATTTTTTTTAAAAGTTTCTTTCTTTTATTGAAATATGATTTACATACCATAAAATTCACCTTTTTAATAAAGTGTACAATTCAGCGGTTTTTGTATATTCACAAAGTTCTGTATCCTTGCCACTATCTAATCCGTAAACATTTCCCTCATTCCAAATAGAAACCTCATACTTATTGGCAGTCATTCCTCATTCTCTCCTCCCCTAAACCCTGGAAACATCTAATTTCTGTCCATGTGGATTTGCTTATTCTGGACGTTTCTTATACATAAAACCATACGATGTGGCCTCTTATGTCTGGGTTCTTTCATTAGTGTAATGTTTTCAAAATTCAACCTTGCAATGAGTGAAAAGATTCTTGTTGTAACAAGTATCTATACTTCGTTTCTTTTTATGGTGAACAATATTCCATTGTTTGGATAGATCACATTTCATTTGTCCATTCATCAATTGATGGATACTTGAGTGTTTCCACTTTGTGTACAGGTTTTTAATGCTCCTATTTGCGTACACGTTTTTGTATGGACATGTTTTCAATTGTCCTGGGTAATAACCTTGCAGTGGAATTCCTGGGAGATATGGTAACCCTAATGTTTAATTTTTGAGAAACTGTCTAACTGTTTCCCAAAGCAGATACAACGATTTTACAACCGGGGCCGGCTCGGTGGTGTAGTGGTTAAGCTCGCACGCTCCGCTTCGGTGGCCCGGGGCTTGCCGGTTCAGATCCTGGCTGTGGACATACATTCCACTCATCAAGCCATGCTCTGGCAGCATCCCACATAGAAGAACTAGAAGGACGTACAGATAGGATATACAACTATGTACTGGGGCTTTGGGGAGAAAAAATAAAAAGAGGAAGATTGGCAAAAGATGTTATCTCAGGGCCAATCTTCTCCAACAATAACAACAAAATACCTAAAGTACAAAAAATACCCCATTATTTTATAACGTGTTTTTTTCCCTTTCACAATAGATCATGACTGTCTTTCCTTGTCAGTAAATAGCTGTGAGCGTCACTAGTTTGAGTGAATGCATTGTATGTCCTTAGCCAGCTGTACCAGTGTCTATAACGGATTCCCCATTGTTGGACATTTAATGATTCTATGAAACAGGCTTTGAGTATCTTGCTTGCATCCCCAGCAGGTAAATGACACTTTCCCAGGTGAACCCAGAGCACTTTGCATCCCTCAGTTTTGGTGCTTTCACATTACATTGCAATTCATACCCCCACACCCCATCTGTCTTAATTACTACACGGTGAACTACAAGAGGAGATGGAACATATCTTGAATTCATCTTTGTATTTATAACACCTAGCATAGTGCTAGGCTTGGTAAATTTTCGAGAATGAATGAATGGATAAATGGAATAATGAATAAATGGAAGGACAAATGGATGGATGCATGAATGAATGAATATAGCCAGGCACTGTGGTGGGATGGAATTCACTACTCTAAGAACCTTGTGCCCAAATATCCCTGCGTCTAGAGATAGTGAGTTCCCTGTCCCTGGAGGTGTGAGACAGGAAGCTCAGTCATTTGGCAGGAATATTGTAAAGTCAATTTAGGCAACAGAAGGGAGACTGGATGCAATTTAAGATGCTTACAAACCTGACAGCATAGAGCCCTATGAAATAGAAGCCCAGGGTAAAGAAGAGATAGGTTCTCAGTTCCCCAGCAGAGCAGCTGCAGGGCTGGGAGTTGCTGTAAAAGTTTTCAAGCTTGTTCTGGGAGCCCAAACCAAAGGCATCTGGTGCTTGTACCTGCCTTTGGGAAGCTCACAGTGCACTGAGGTTAGCATCCAGGAGAGGGGAAACCCTTATGTAACAAGTTGTTTGACCAGTCTGTGGCTGTCTGTAATGGCAGAGTTCATTCTGTGCTGTTTAGATAAAAGAGGGTAAACTCTAAGAGGCGGAGCATAAAGGATCCACAAAGCCCAGAGTGATCTTTGGAAGGGGAAATCTGTTCTGCCTGATTAGGCTATTGGCTGGGAGGGAGGGAGCTGAGGGGCGGGGCAGGGGCAGGGCTCTGGGGCTGACTGCACAGCCCCTTCCAGCAGCGCTGAGTCCTGCAGGTCCAGGAGCTGCTGTCCTTCCAAGATGTGGCTCTTCGCTCTGGTCCTGGTCTCCTTGGCCACCTCCACAGTTTGGGGTGAGTTCTTCTGAAATACAAACAGGGGGGCACCTTGGAAATGCTGGTCCAGGGGCGAGGTGAGGGAGACGACGTAGGACAAAGGTGTGACAGGTCCGGTTCTGCAGCAGCTGCCCTCCAGACTTGGATCGCCCAGCCCAGACCGTCCTCTCCAGGGGAGGATGAACACCTCGAGAATTCAGCTTATTTCCCCTTGATATTAGTCCAGATATGGCCAAATCATGGACAGTGGCTTAGCAGAATAGAATTATTCACTCTGGCTGAGAGGGTGCAGGCTCCGTCTCAGCTCAGCACTCACCAGCTGTGTGTCTTTAGGCAAGGTTCTTCACTCTCCTGTGCCTCAGTTTCCCCCTCTCTAAAATGGAAATGAACACAGTCTCTAATTCATTGGACAACTGTGAGGAGGAAATGCATTGTTGTTTCTACAGAGCATAGTTCCTGGCATGAAGAAAGTGCAAAATAAGGATTCATAAATAAAGGGTTTGTTCTAAAATAGCATACTAATAGAAATTTGAGGTATGGTAAGACCAACAGAGCAGGAGACGACTACCATTGAAAAGACAGTTTGTTACTCACAGTTCCCAAGGTGAGGGGCACACTACCACCATGGTGGGCCTCAAGGTGGGGCACTGGGCAGGTCAGGAGGCAGAGGAAGAGGGAGGAATTGTGGCTTAGAGTCTTCCTCCTGGGTGCTGCGGGAAGGAAGGGGTGAGGCAGAATAAGCAGGGTTAGGAGGGCAATCAAGAGGTGGGGCAGGATAAGCAGGTATAGGATTTGCACCCAAAGCAAAGTACTCTGGTGCCTGGGCTTGTCCACAGTTGTCAGGTACCTGATCCTGGAGTGATTAGAGCAGGATGACAGTTACCTGGCATGTAAGAGCCCCATGAAGAAGGCGGTTGGGGTGTGGGCTCTGGCAAGCTGGAAGGACCAGCTGATTCCTGCCTCTAGGGAGAGGTGGTCCCTCCAGGGTCAGCAAGGCCCCTGATGTCAAAGCATCTGATCAGAGAAACTAAAAGACACGGTTAATACAAGGGTGCAGCAAGGGACCTCAGAATACATCTGTGCCATTTGATAGATGGAGAAACTGAGACTCAGACACAGAAATGGACTTGTCCAAGGTCAACTGGAAAATCACAAGCTGGAATCTATCTGTGCATCCTGAATCCAACACTGTCCTGACAGCCTAGGCTGCATCTGGGTTTTACCTTCTTTCTGCTGGTGTGACACCATGAGAGGCCTGGAACTGAGTGTAACTACAGAGTAACAGCCAAATCAGGACACATTATTCCCAATCAGCAGTCACCTCCTGGCAAGTCCATCCCATTTCCATCTTCAGAAAGTCCATAGTGGCTGCCTCGATCTCCTCAGCTTCCTCATCTGTAAAATGGGCATACGAACAACTACCTAGCAAGGCTTTTGGGAAGATTAATTTAGCGGACCTGGAATGCACATCCAGCACATAGGAAGTGCTCAGTATATTAACATTACCTGTAACACACGTGGTAACTGCTGCTCTTACCACTATGGCTGATGCCTCTCACCCCATCGCCCACTTTGTCACCCTTGGTATCTGGCTTCTGTCCACTTCATCTCTCCTAAAGGTTAGCACTGGATATTCTTCTTCAGAACAAGTCTGGGTTATTCTTTCTGCTCTGGCCACACACTTTGAGGGAGATGCAGCCCTTTCGTCAACATCTAAAAGAGAGCAGTTGGGAGGACGAGAGGCTAGACATCATTTCCTACGAGGAACACTGGAACCATCTGAGGACGGACAAGAGGAGGCCTGAGGGATGGGCAGGCTCAGGGGTCTGCAAGGCCGCTGCCACATGGGAGCTCAGGACGGGCCACAGCAGGTAGAAGCAGGGCTGATGTGGAAGCTGCAGGGGAGGAACTTCAGCTCAGCGAGGAAGAGCTGTCTGCTCCACAAGAACGGAACAGACGGGGATCTGACCCCAGTCTCAGCCCCTCTGGACGACCCTGCTCAGAGTCGCCAAAAGAATCCTCCTCAAGCTGATGGTGTCACTCTCCCGTACTCTAACGGTTCATTGCTGCTCATTTACCCACAATAAAGCCCAGATCCTTAGCCTGGCATTCAAGGCCCTCCAAAACATGAACCTCTCTCACCCCAGGATTATTTTCCGCTCCCCGTAGACTCCCTCTGCCTCACATGGGCCATCACTCTTCCTCGGGCAGGCCTTGCCTTTTGCTGTCTCAGAGCCTCGCCTCGGCACATTCTCTTCTCTGCTCTATACCTTTATACCCCCTCGGCCATCTCCCCCTGCTCAGTCTCACCTAATGTGAGTTCCAGCTCCAAGGTCACCGCCTCCAGGATGCCACCAATCAGAAGGCCTCGCTCCCTCTTCTAACTCCTGTAGGACCTTACTGGTCCCTCTCTCGGGACACTGACCACTTTCTTCCCAGCAGTAGGGTCGAGCGTGTATGTGGCTCATTCTCCCCACAAGGTTCAGAGCTTCTGAGAAGAGGGGCCGCCTCTTGTCCACCCTCCCATCCAGCACGCAGCTCAGCGCCAGGATCCTCGTGGGTAACTGTCTCCAGGGCTCCTGAGAGTGCAACCCAATGTCTGCTTCACTCCCAGCAGCTCTCCTTCTTGCATTTCCTTCTCACTTGATGCCGTTTTACCTCCATGTCCACTTTGCTCCTTAAGACAGCCCTGGGAGTTAGGAAGGACAGTTAACCTCCCCTCCCTTTTACATAAGAAGAAACTGAGGCCTAGAGAGTTGAGGTGACTCATTCAAGGTCACATGCTGAGAGTGGTAAGACCCCTGGAATCCAGGTCAAACCTTTCACTGCTAACGCGTCTCATTTCCTCTCGCTGTCCAGCAGGGCACCCATCCTCGCCGCCTGTGGTGGACACCGCGCAGGGCAAGGTCCTGGGGAAGCATGTCAGCCTGGAAGGATTTGCACAGCCCGTGGCCGTTTTCCTGGGGGTCCCTTTTGCCAAGCCCCCCCTGGGATCCCTGAGGTTTGCTCCGCCGCAGCCTGCAGATCCATGGCCCTTCGTGAAGAACGCCACCTCCTACCCTCCCATGTAAGCCGGGGACTTTGGCATCTTTCAGTGGGTGTGTGCCTCAAAGTGACGCAGGAAGGAGCCAAGGCCATCCTCCGAGTGGCTCATACTTTGTTCTGGAATCCTCAAGATATTGTAGATCCTTAGAGACATTCCAGAACTCTCACGGCATTCTAGAGCCCTCTATTCAACACATGGTTATTGAGCACCTACTGTGTGCCAGGCATGCTCTAGGTCCTGGGATCCGTTAGTGAACACAACCAAGATCCTGCCTTCACGTAGCTTAGATTTAAGCAGGGGAAACAGCCAATAAAAAACATGCAAATTAATAAATGAGCTATGTAATGTGTTAGAATATGATAACTTTTTGGAAAAAAAATTAAAATTTGCTCACATGGGAGGGACCAGAGGTAGCAGTTCTGTTTATTCTTCTGTCTTGAACTTTGCTATAGTTGGCAAGTGGAGTAAGCCAGGCAGTGTGTGGATGAGGAGGGCCTGGGGTGTTGAGCAGGCAAGTTCTCAACTCCCAGATGTGTCTAGCTGCTCAGTCACAAGCAGAAGAGTGGGTCATGTGTCCTAGTCACCCTGGACAAGCCGGGCAAAGAGGACTTGCAGCTGCACCTCGGAGACACGAATGCCTCCATGCATCCAGTTAGACTTCATTCTTCTCAGCAAGGCATTTCTCGAAATCTCCAGGTTCCCACCTCTTGCCGTCTTTTCTTTTCTTTCCTTTTTCCTCTTCTCCCCTTTCTTCTTTCCTTTAAAAATAATTTTCACTGTTTTTATTTCTTGATTGTAAGTGTAATACATACTTATTACTGAAAAGTGCAGGAGTACAGGTAAGGAAAGGTAAGAGAATGAAAATCCTTTATGATTCCACCCCTGGAGAGAACTGCGGTTCATGTTTTAGGTTCTGCTCTTCCAGTCTTTCATGTGTTGCATGTTTTCTCTCTTAAAAATAGAACCACCCAACATTCTGCACCCAATTCAACATGGGGAGTTTTGTCCACACTAGCTGGAATTCAACTCAATTCAGACACTCTTTACCAGGAGGTAGTATCAGATGCTACGAGTTAAGAACTCAGTCCCACAGGACTGTCCTCTCCTTCAGATGCCCATCACAAGTCCAGGTTGTTATCTGTGCTTCTGATTGACCAGCTATAAATCAGACATTCCCATGGCACCCTCCTTGGGTTCCATTAATTTTCTAAAGCAGCTCACAGAACTCAGGAAACTGGTTGACTCGCTACATTACTGGTTTATTACGAAGCACATTAAAGAATATGAATCAACAGCAGATGAAGAGATTCCTAGGGTGAGGCTGTGAAGAAAGCAGCTTCTGTTCTCATGAAGTTTGGGTCTGGCACGGCGGCACAGGGAGGCGTTCTGGTTCACCAACCTGGATGCTCTCTGAGCCCTTGTCCATTTGGTTTTTTATGGATGCTTCCTTACATAGGCATGATTGGTTAAATCTTTGGCCATTGAACATTAATTCAACACCCAGCCTCTCTCCCTTCCCGAGAGGTCGGGGGGGGTGGGACTGAGAGTTCCAGCCCTGTAATCACTGATGGGTTTCCTGGCAACCAGCCCACATCCTTAGCCGAGGTCCAAAATTCACCTGATTAATATAACAAACACACCTTTATGGCTCTCGTCTCTTAGGAAATTCTAAGGGTTTTAGGAGCCCTGTGCCAGAAACTGGACGACAAATAAATAGATATTTCTTATTATAAATCACAGTATCCCATCATGCTATACGGATAGTTTGGATGCCTTCTTTGCTCACCTTTAAGTATGTCATGAACGTCGTTCTATGTCATTAAATATCACAGTCTGACATTTAATAGCTGAGTTACCTCAGGGATTGAATCATCATTTATTTACCTGATCTCTTATTTGGGTCACAGTTGTTCTTAGTGTTTTTGATAATATATATAGCATGAATAATGAATAACCTATAGTTAAACATTTATTGAACTCACGAATATTTTTGGAGAAGTTCCAAGAAATGACTTTTCCAAGTCACACAATATGCACCTTTTATAAAATTTCCTTCCAGGAGTGTTCCAACTGTACTCCTTCCAGTAATGTATGAAAACCTCCATTCACTGCACATTTGACAATGCTTGAGGTTGTTTTAAAGAATGTGTTTTTGGCTAATGGATACAGAAAATAATAATAATTATTATCATAATTATGATATATATACTTTGGCTATTTATTTTGCATTCATTTGAATACCAGTGATGTTGAAGTGTTTTCTGCTTTTTTGACATTTGATTTTTTTACTTTATGAATATTATGCCCCTTGCTCTTAGTGATCCCAGAAATCTTCCTCCGGGTTGGAGATCAGGAAGTCGTCTTTTCAGGCCTGACTCTGCCTCCTGACAGCTGCGTCATCCAGGCACCTCAGTGCCTCAGCCACCTCATCTGCACACTGGGGGCGGTGACATCTGCCTTCTGCTTACATTGAGACTCAGAAATGTTGCTTTTAATGTCCTTGGAAATCTAAGCACTCCATAGTATGGATCTTTCTGTCTGTGTGAACGAAGGATCGAAGGATTTCAAACCATTCTGTGCCTCAGTTCTCCTGTATATAAAATCTGGGTAATAATAGGACCTATGTCACGGGGCTGCTTGAGGATTAGATGAGTTAATACAAAAGGAGTACACACCTGACACGCTGGGAGAACTAAGGAAATGTGACCAATTATACTCTACGCTGGACCTTCATGATCTGTTATTAGGGCAACCATTAGTGCTTGTCTGGGCTGGATGACGGTAGAATATTAGTATGTCAGGCCTGCAAGGCCCTTAAAGAAATTTCTCCCTTCTCCTAGAGCTCAAGATTGAGGATTAGAGCAGGGAAGGTATTCAACCAAGGTCACCAAGCTCATTAATGGCTAACACAGGACTAGAACACAGTTCCTTTAATGTTGTCCCACAAATATTTCTCCTGACATCTTGTCTGCCCTGAATTTCTGCCATTTGAGTGACTTTTCATGGTTTATGGAAGTCTCCTGGGACTAGAATGCCTGGTTTACCTGGTGGAGGAACATGGTCACCGTGCAGCCCACCACAAAGAGCCCAGCGGAGAGCCAGGCTGTGTCCAGGGAGTGCAGGAAATGGTCCTCTCCCAGGCGTAGACGCAGCCTCCTCTCCTTGACCCAGGGCAGCTCGAAGGCTCTGGGAAGGGGACAGGTGCCAGGCTTCCTCACTATACACAGTCTTGGAAGATCTTAGTGAGTCCCAGGGCCCCCACTCAGATCCTCAGATACCTTCCTGCTCATTCCAGTGTCTCAAGTGTGGGAAGAGCAACTCTGTTACAGGTCTAACCCTCCGAGTCCAAGGCCCGGCCTGACCTTAGGAGACATCTCGTTGCTCAGCTCTGACAGAACCTCAGGACTTCTTTCTCCCTTCCCCTCCCAGGTGCTCCCAGGACCCAGTGGCAGGGCAGATAGCCTCGGACCTCTTTACCATAAGAAAGGAGAACATTCCTGTCCAGTTTTCTGAAGACTGTCTTTACCTAAATATTTACACTCCCGCTGACTTGACAAAAAAAAGCAGGCTGCCGGTAAGTAGTGGGAACCACTGGTCAAGGCTGGTGAGTTCCAGCCCCCCAGGATCTTCTGGTGGAGACTGGAAGAGGACAACGACAGTTTGGGGTGGGGCCACCACCAGCCATGTTTGTTTCAGGGCCCCAGGGCTTTCTTTACCCACCACAGCCAGACCTCGTGACCACAGGAAACGGCAGGGAATGAAAATTTTTCCCTTCTTGCCCTCTAGGTTCTTTGGATGGCCCATTATTAAAGTGACACAAGACAGATTAACAGGAGAAAAACAATTTTATCTTCATAAGTACAAGAGGTTATCAAAATTTAAGCATCAAAGAAAGGACCGAAGCGAGGAGCATTTATACATTTTAGACAAAGAAAAAGTTATGTGTGAAGATTTGACAAAGCAAAGGGGTTTGGGTTGGAGTGAAAAGTTAAAGAGGAAGTGACAAAGGTTGTTCATACAGCCTTCTTGGCCTTGACTTCCCCATCTCTGGTGATAAGGACGCCTTTCACCCTCAGGTGCAGGGAGGGTATCCTTCACATGGGAGATTTATTTCCTGCTTTCAGGAGACAAACGAGGGTTAGAGTGTCCTTGCACTGGCTGTTTCCTAGGAAATTTTCTTAACTAAATTTAATTCCAAATAGTCAATATACTAAAATGGCATGTTTTGGGGTGGCATATTCTGCTCCCCTTCAACCTCAGTTATCCCATTGACAGACATAGGATCTTTTGGGGAGTTTGCTACACATCTGTAATGTATCTTTCCATTTTTCCAGGTTCTCTTGCATTATAGAAGAAGAATGATTACTCTTGGTTGCTAGGTTACGAATCTGATACCCAGAGCAGCTCATATACAATTTCCAACAAGGACAGAACTGAAGGAATCGTAGAGATAAGCCAACAACCCAACCCGTCCTTTACAGATAGAGAAATTGAGGCCCAAAGAGAGGAAAGTGAGGTCACACAGTAGGGTTGGCACAACAAGAACATGAGTCTTCTGATTGTCATACGCTTGCTCTTTGACTCACACTAGGAAACTGAGCCTGTGTGTGGACTTTCCTCAGCACACAAAGAACCCTGCCTCACAGTGTCTCCTGATAAAAGTGTGGAGAACACAACGTGATGAATCCAAGAAACACCTTCTTTGGCCTTTGGCCAACTCTCTGGGACTTTTAGCTAATTTCCCTCCCTAATTCACCTTGGCATGGGCTGAAGACCCAGTGAGTCAGCATTTCCTGAATAAACAGAAGCCCAGAGATGGGGC